TTTGGGTTCTCAACACTAATGCAAGCATTTCATTTTATTACAGTAGGGGTTTTACCAATGACTTGTGGGCTCTGAAAAGTGTAAAACAGCTCTGATACATTACATTGATTGTTGCACTTAATCTCATGGCATTAACATCTCATGTGACCTCTAAGTCTAAGAAGCTCACTGTCAATAAAATGGCAAAAGTCCCAGGAAGGATAAAAAGCCATACTGTAACTCATCAATTCTCTCTCTGTTTTTAACCTGCCCTCTTCAACATCTAAGAAACCCATCTCGCATGGAAACTCCTACGGGACTCGAGATGCTGTTTTAAAATTGATGTAATGCACTACTGAAACAGCATGAGAAGTATGGCGCATATAACAGGAATGATAACGTTTGCCTAATAATAAAGAAACTGTCAGAAAATGCACCTCTTTTCCTTAAGCATGTTAAAGCATGCCATGTTTACTCTGAAGTCTTGAGTGCGAAACGATCAACAGGGAACCATTTATTCATAGTGCAAGTGCACTTTAGACTGTAAAGCCTCTCTTTGATAAATAGAAATATGCAGATTCCCTTTGTTCCCTTTCGTTTTAACCTGCGGGGTTTTATTTTTACTTTCAGGATTATGGAATAGTATTGCATTTATATTTACTCATTTACTGAGAGCAGTAGGATTTCAAAGTACATTCTTGCAGTGGTTATACTAGGAACAATTGTGTTTATTCTAACCAGTTGTGTTTATTCTTTTATAAAGTTATAATGTTAACACTTAACAATACGGTTTCAATAAAATGAGTAAACACATTACATTGTACGTTTATAATATATCAATTATTTTCTTGTATTTGTTTGATGGTATTTTGTTTGTAAATTGTAGCTGCGTCCCGATTCGCATATTATCCGCCCTAAATTGTTTTCGAAAATAGAATTAGTACGTCCCAAATCGTAGTATGTTGAAGTGTTCCAAAGAGACCCACATGCTATTTCCGGTCAGAATCCAAAGTGCACATCGAAGCACATTCTAACAGCTAATATTGCCCGCAACCCATCGCCCATTGGACGAGGATTCGGTTAGAACTACAAAAACATGAGTGAAAAGTGTTAAAAAAAAAACTACAGACATGGGGGACGTGCGAGTCCGGCGGTCAAGTAAAGAGGTTTAGATAAAGGGGTTTGACTCAAACCTTTTAGTGATTAATTATCAGTATCTAACCTGACGAAAATGTATTTATTCAAGGTCGTCTACGTTATTGCTTCTGCAGCAGCAATTGTGAACTTTTTTTTAAAGAGACCATGAACTTTTAAATGCATCATTACATTCAAATTGCAAACACATGAGGAGAGTCTCTGCATGAAAGACCCACAACTGGCAGATGAACGTGCAACATTTCTCTCAGAAACGGTAGGAAATTAAATTAGATTGAATGAAGGATTTTAACTGTGACAAGATGATTGACAGGGCAAGTTACAGTGATGTAGGCGACAGATCTGTCATTTTAAGACGATGAAAGTATGTCCCAAAGCTTGTCTACTCTTGCTAAACACTAATGCATGTGTGTGTGCGTAACAAAGTGTATACTTTTCTTCACAAACAGAGGGGCATAGTATAAGTAGGCAAATTACTTTGTAGGACGGAGCATGTGTTTACCTTCCGAGTCGTTCACAAGCTATGCATGTGTTGAACTTCATGAACTTGCTCTTAGAAGAAAATGTTCCATCAGCGCTACGTATTTGGAACCCCTAAAAGGTTCTATACACTCTTAAAAATGGTCCTCTGGGTTCTAGAACCCTGAGGTTCCACACTTGGCCAATAGAACCTTTTACCAAAAAAAAAAAAAAAAAAAAAAAAAAAAAAGGTTCTATATAGAAGTCTAACTGACAGGTGTTGAAATAGGAAAGTCGTGAATAAAATCCTTTGGACAGCTGCTCGGATCATTGTCTATTCTGCAAATATGTGTGGTCCTGTAATAAAACTAATATATTTTCCTTCACTGGTCACAGGGCGCCCGTGTTCCCTGAGCAAGAAGCGTGTTATCGAGCTGGGAAGTGACAAGGTTATGACCTTTTCTGCAGGGTCTGCCACATATATTAATGGTAGATGTGTAACCTGACACTCCAAGATAAAAATTTATGTTTAGACATTGACCTGCTTCTGTCACAGCCACACAGAATGAAACACACTGACATATGATGGTGTTTCACCTTCCATTATCATGACTAAGGATGAGTTGAGAGAGGTAGGATGGGAACCATGACCAAAATCTATATCATAGTAAAGGTGTATATCACAATAGGCTTTCGAGAGGCCCCTGTGATTTCACCCGAGGGGTCCAACCATCCGCACCGGGGCCCCTGATACCTAGCAACCATTCATTATTTTCTCTTTTTATTTGGAGCTTGATGGCCACAAAAATGATAAGATTGTTTATAATGATAAAGTTATTGAAGTTCACTGCATATATAAAAAGAATGCATGCATGGCTTTTTATGTTCAATTCATTTTGTTATTTTAAATAACTGTCTTGATTGAACGTAAATTTGCCATTATTGCAGCACTTCAGCAATTACTTGATTTCTTAATCATCTGCAAAGTTCTGTGCAAAGTGTTCCTTCTATTCACATGGTTTTAAAAGCATCTCATCTTATGTTTTCTTCAAGAAATTTACATTTCATGGCTGGTTAAGAACAACAATATCATTTTAAGAAGAACAAATAAACTCATTATGGTGTCAGAACTTGAAGTTAAATGGGACACAATCAACAATGAAAATAAAACCGGCTAACAGGCAAATAAAACAATCATATGAATTATTCATATCACAATGCTGGGAAGAATGCAAATCTCAAATCCATGTTACACTTACAGTATGTCCATTTAGTTTCTGTTTTCATGGACTTTCAGTCTGTCGTCATTCATCACATGTGTTCCTTTGTTTTAGTTTCCCGCCACTCATCAGTAACCATGGACATTAATTCATCACAGCTGTTCACCACCATGTATTAGTTCCTATCGGTTCCCTTGGTTTCTGTTGGTCAATGTTAGTGTACTCTAGTGTTTTGCTGCACATGCCTGTCAAACTTTTTGTTTTTATAAACCTAGTTTATATTTGTATCCAGTCTTTAGTCCGTCTTCATCTTGTGACGAACAATTAGTGCACACAGTATTTGCTCTTAGAAAAATGCATTGGTAAAACGTACCTGCTATGTTTGTTGGTTCGACTTTAAGGGATATTTCACCCAAAAATGAAATGATTTACTCACCCTCAAGCCATCCGAAGTGTATTTGACTTTCTTCTTTCAGATGAACACAGAGTTATTAAAAAAATAAATAAATAAATAAATAAAAATAAAATAAAATAAGCTCTTCCAAGCTTTATAAATGCATTGAATGGTAAATTAGAATATTGAAGCTGCCCATTTCTACTGCATCCAACATGTTGATTGTGTTAACACACATCTAAATGTTCTAGACCAGAAAACTGCCAAAACGTCTGCTTTTATAGAGTTGGTCACACTTGCTGATGATCAATTAATCAAGGACATTTGATTATCAGGCCCTGACTGCAACTTACCCCCTTAATCCCTATAGACCTCATGTAGCCCCGCCCCTTTTCAGAGCTGCGCTCGTTGTCTTTTGACTTCCGGTCTGCGTTTTCACAGCGATCTTGCATAGGTATGAATGAACTGCTCATAAATAATTTCCCGGTCGACATTTGTTAAGACATCTGCTTTACAGTGCTTATGATAAACATTACAATGCTCATGATAACTTTTGTTAACTCTACAATAAGTAAATCCACTTCACCAGCTATTGTTTTATTATGTGTATTGTGTCTGTGTACTGTGTATTATGTCATTATGTCAGGTGTTTTTGTTCACCTGAGGTTTTATTTGCCTAATTTCAAGACATGTTATTATTATTTTAAAATTTAAAATTTGATCTCTAACAAGAAATAAGTGTTTCAGATATTCACTGTTTTATCTCTGGAACTCACTTGTTTCAATCATTAGATGTGCAATAAATAGCCTATGTTGTCTTCTGTATGATACATATCTCCATGATGCTTTTCCTCATTTATAAATCATTTTGGATAAAAAATATCTGCTAAATGATTAAGTTGTTAATTTGGAAAACCCCGTCTTTCTTTGTGCATAAACTTACTGTATGTTATCTGCCCACACAACACCCCAAGTGTTTCCAGCAATTGTGGATTCCTGCTGTTTAATGAGCTCCAGAGCTCACTGCAAAGATCAGCAGATTTTATCACTGTCCGACTTTCCCATGGAGAGAGTCATTAAGCAAATTAGTAACGACAGGTGCATTTGCATATTCATAGAGTGCCTTAGCCTAGATCATGCCCCAAGACAAACAAAGGAGAGCATTACAAATGCAACAGGTACAGAGGTTCTCCACTGACATGCCTGTGTGTGGTGATGTTTGGTTTGGTTTCACAGCAGTCTGAATTCATGTCACATGAATAACTGATAACATTTTGAGCACATTTTAATTAGCTCTATACCAAATAAATGAATTGAATAACCAAAATATCCGTTGACTACTAGGGTATCCATATCTTTTCTACTATTTCTGAGAAAGACAATTGTATAGTGACTGATTGCTTGTTCATCTGATAAAGTTTCTCTATTCTAATGCTTGACAACTATCTATGGACTCATCATGGTTGTATTGCACAAAGACTGTGTGCTAACAGTGATATATTGTGTGTGTGCCTTGTATTCAGCCTTCTTTCATTTATTGGCAGCGTGTGATTCAAGAAATCTCCTTCCGACTCAGCGGACACCATGATAAGATCAAAGAGTATATTTGATAACCCATCTCATTTTCGGCAGTCTCTCTCGGCTCTGTCTGTTATATCACCATATCTCAGGCACAATCAGACCTATGGGATTTAGAAATTCAGGCTTCGGGGACAAGTTGTTGTCTTTTGGATCTTTGGATTGTACACAAACCACATGTTTAAGCAGTTGAAATATCTTTTTTTTTTTTTCTTCAAGTGGTGTTTATTTAAGAAAACTGTGTTTATTACAGGACTCAACTGTAATAGCTCATGTTTAGCCCTAAAGTAGATTTATTTTACAACAAGTACAAGTCTATACAAGCTCCTCTGGGACTGCAACGTCCATGTCCTCGTGAGGAGAAAATAATTATGAAAATCCTTGTGTCTTCAAAAAAATAAGAAATTCATATTCGATTTGAAATCATGATAAATAGATAAATACATAACAAAACGTTACAACCCGTCTCAACAGCCTCACAAATAAATAAATAGAATCATAAATAACATTCAACAAACATCTTTGGCCAAACGAGGCCCGCGAAGACAATTCCTCCTCAATACTCCCTCCAACGAAGCTTGGAATTAGGGTCAGCTTCGGTTAGGGACGCCACTCATCCTTAAGAAGGGTGACAAAACAAAGCTAAACCATAACAAAAAGAATAACAAACCAACTCCATTGAGGCACTTTTTTAAGGATGTCAGAAAAAATTTGCATCTTCTATGTTTTTTTTGTTGTTGTTGTTGTCTTTTTTTTTTTGTGTGTGAAAAGCAAAGTTCATAAATATGACCAAAAAACCTCCAACATTCATTTACAGATAACCCGGCGGCTGCATTTTATTCTGGCTTCCTTTATCCTCTCTTGTTTTGAGTGTGAAATCAAGGCAAACTAAAAAGTCGAAAAGGTCAAAAAGAACCACTACAAAATAACACAATGGACTCTTGTAAAAAGAAAAGTCCGAGTTAAACACACATCTAGGGTGAAAAGAGAAAAAACAAAACATCAGTGTTTGTTTTCAGTGACGGTGCTGGATGTTACATCTGATTGGCTCTCTGATCGTTCTCCGAATATCCCTGCGAGGGTTTTGAAGCGAGGCCCCCACTCGTTGAGGTAATCGTAGTCCTCCTCCGTTTCACCCTTTACGGACTCTATAGAGCTTAAACTCTCGGCCACCGAGCCCTCGCCCTCGTAGGCGTATGTGGCCAGCGAGTCGTAAGGCGGGGCGGAAGTGTCACCGTCGTGCTCTTGCAGCCGCTGACTGATGAAGTTGCTGATGTCAGCGCTGTTCTGAGAGGCTATTGGCCGCTGTGGACACAAACCCAACTCTGGCTTAACGTCTCGGCGAAACAGATTTTCCTTGATGACTTTGGGGTTGCGGAGGGTGCCCATGTCGAAGGCGTGCGTGTCCTCCTCGCCTCCTCCTTCGTCGTCGTAATGTATGACGTTGTCACGGATGTCCTCTTTGGATGTCATGAGGGTCTCTTTCTTCTTCTGCCGCCGAACCCCAACGTAGAGGACCACGATCACTGCAGGAAACACACAAGCAGAACACAAATCAAAATGCTTTCAGAATGTGATACAACACGGTCTCTAAAGCTCCCCTGAAATCGAAATTTTGAGGTAACTAGTAATAGTGCATAAAGCCTAATCTTTTTTTGTATCTTAAACTGTTAAAAAATCCTTCCTGGAAATATGTCGACAGGATTTCAGCAACTCCTAATGGATGCTATTTTGTATATATTTGTATTTTACTTTTGGCATATATTCAACAAGGTGGAGGTCCATACTGATGTGCTCTAGATTTGTCTGCCATTCTCCTCTGACCTCTGGCATCAACAAGGCATTTTCGCCCACAGAACTTCTGGATTTTCTCTTTTAAGGGCCATTCTCTGTAAACCCTAGAGATAGGGTGGCCATACGTCCGGATTTTAAGCTCCATGTCCGGCGTCCGGCGTAGCCTCAAGCCGGACACTCATTTGTCCTCCTTTTTGGAGTTGATCTGAATCAGCCAAAAAAACAAAACAAAACAAAAAAAAAACGCTCTAGAATCGTTATTGAGACGCAGCAGCAGCATAGCGTTTAATGCCGTAGATCTCTAGTCAAACACATGATTCGCAGGGTTGCCAACTCTCACGCATTGAGCGTGAGTTTCACGCAAAATTGAGCCAATTCTCACGCTCTCACGCCACACCCCCGATTTCTCACGCTGAAGTGTGAATCCGGCCGGTCAAATCCCTGAAAGATGAGTTTATCTATAGATCTACCAGATGAGCCACTCGTGATCGACTAGTTTTACATTAGTTAAAAAATACACTAATCACTAATCTCTGGAAAGTATTCTACATGTTTAATAAATGTTCCAACTGCTTACACAAGGAAACAGTATGGGAAAGCGCACCCAGGTAAAAATAAGAATTTGACAAATTCTACAAACAATCTTAATTTGCCAACAGTTAATAATATATATATATATATATATATATATATATAGAATTATAGAAGCAAGCACAAGCACGACGCAAACCCCCAAACGTTGATTTTACGAATGGGAATATGAATATTATATGAAATATGAATATGTATTGGGTTTAAAACCATACAGATATTTGAAGGCTGATAAAACATGGCTTGGTGGACATGATGACCCTATGGTGCCAGATTATTTGTTTATTTTTTGTATTTCTATTAATTTTATGTATTTATCTTATTAAGTCCAGAAATGTTTTTTTTTTCTTCTGGTACTGTGCAATCACTAACATCAGCTGCTAGTGCGCCTCTTGAGATCAGGGGAGTGAGGTTTACCTGAGCTGGCCTCTGTTACACTCACCCCCTCTTAACCTCACTCCCATCCAGGCCACGGCACCAATGTGATCCTACTCCCCCCACTCCAATGCAAACCGGCGTTTCCGGCATGGGAGGCGGGCGTGCTAACAAAGACCACAGTCTCTGTTTAAAATACATCCCAGAAGGAGTTGCAGCGCTGATTTTATTTTTATTTTCTGAATTTGAATGATGAGAATAAAAATTATATATTATTATTTTTTGAATAAGCGTCTCACAATATATCACATGACTTCAAATTAGCAACATTTCGGTCATATTAGTAACATTTTGGTGGTCAAAAAAGGTACAAATCCACCAGTACCATTGGAGTTAAAAACAATATTACAACTTTACCGTTTTGAGCTAAGGCAAGCAGAGAGTTTTGAACACAAGCTGGTTATGTACTTGCTCAAAAAATATTTTGGATAATTTTTAACCCCAAAAAGTGACTGAATGCACCTTTAAATGGCGCAATAGTAGGCGGGTCCACGACGTGTGTACACTCTGCTTATTACACACACACCACTTCACAAATCCGCCATGAAAAGAGCAATCTGGCATGGCGCGAGCGCAACTGGCTTTTAAAGGGAATGGGAGATCTGACTCTGATTGGTTTATTGAACGTTACACCCAAAACACATAGATTACTCATTAAGAGAACCGGGACAACCCTTTTAGACCATGCGGCGCGTGTACTGATTTTTCCTGTCGTTAAACTAGCAAAAGGGGGTGCACTCGCGTCCTGCGCTTTAGACCATGTGCTTAGATCGTTAACATAGGTCACTAAATTTGCAAGGGTGAATCTTTCGACCTTTGGTAAAATTCCCAATCACATGGATTCTTGATTTTGTGTTAAATTGACGAACAGCTGTAAATATGTCTGCATCTAAAACCAATGATATCATAAATTTGAGTTATTTAGCTCATGCATATTTGTTTTCAGGCGACGTCAAGCCATTTTGCATATGACAGGGGAAAAACAAACGGACGATTAGCTCGTAATAATTAGAAGGCGAGTCTTCTGTTCCTGTAGCCATAGTATTGAGTGCTGTGATTTCTCCCATTCATTCAAATCGTTCTCGTTATGCTGTCTGTACAATCAGGGAGTGAGGCAGGCAGAGGCCAGTGGAAACACTCTTCTTCATTTAATCAAGCGACAGCCCCCTCATTTGTCAGAGTTTTCCATGATTGGCAAACAGCTCCTGACTGCAGTCATCATTTAAAGACGGAATGAAAGCTGCAGCAATAATGGGTGCCCTCCGTCTGATGGACTCTCTCACACATCATGTGTGACTATTTCAGAACCCAGTCCTCGTGCTTTATTATTCATTTTATATTGACTGGCCTCAGACGATCCTCAACTAGATAGAACACGATAATGATAGATAGATAGATAGATAGATAGATAGATAGATAGATAGATAGATAGATAGATAGATAGATAGATAGATAGATAGATAGATAGATAGATAGATAGATAGAGATCTGATCTTATAAGTTCAGGTTTCTAAGTATGTAAGTTAACACCTGTACTATGTTTATTAGTATGCAAATTAGAGGAAATTGCTATTAAACAAAAAAACAAGGTTGGTCTAGCAGTCTAGATCAGTGTCTGTGAGGTGCCAGCGCCCCCAAGTGACAGATATGTGCATTGCAGTTCTCAACCGTTGTCAGACATACTATTTTCTGAGTCAATGTTTGCGATTTGATTGGCATATGCAGGAGATAGGTTAGAGATTGATGATAAGCCCTCCTCCTCGGTACGCTGATCTCTTGCTCTGTCTGCCATGACTGCATCCGTGGAGTGGGAAATGGGTCAGTCTGACAAATGTAGCACCGATAATGGCTTATCTCCAGCACGACAATGTGTTCTCTTTCTGCGCTGTCTGTGATCCTGGCTGGAACCTTTAACAAGGACGCAGTGATGCTGAGAGGTGCTTGCCGGTGTCTGTGAGACGGGTCAGTTTTTAGAGCGCTGCGGCAGTCTCTTCAATACAAGCTGTCACGTACTGGTAAAGGATGGATTGACTGTTTTTCTAAGTGGGGTGAAGATCAGCTTAATTAAATAGACAGCAGTATTTTAGGACTGAAGGTCATGCTACAAATAGAAGTGGTTTATGCAGTGGGAACAATTAAAGGGATAGTCCACAAAAAATTACAATTCTGTCATCATTTACTAAAAATCATGTAGTTCTAAATACTATAACGTCACAATACTACATGTAGTCACAAAATAACATATTTTGTAAAACGCTGGTAACCAAATGGATCGGTTAGCATCTGACCTCCATTGTATGAATAGAAATTACAATACAAATCAATGGGAACCAAAATTCTATATATATGTATATATGGGTTTACTATCCCCCTCGGTTCGGTTTGAATCGGTTACCATCTGACCTCCATTTTATGAATAGAAATTACAATGCAAAACAATGGGAACCATCATTCTTCAAGTAAATACATACACACACTCACATACACACACACATATATATATATATATATATATATATATATATATATACAGCCCGTTCTCATCCCAAGGCGTCATATATTGATGCTTTTGCCAATGCGTAGACATCCAACGCACATGGCACCATTTAGCGTCAATATGAGACACAGATATATATGAGCCAGAAGGCGCCTTCTAGTGGTCTAACCCTAAACCTACCCCAGACCTAAACCTACCCATAACCGAAGCACGTTATATTGACGCTAATATTGACGTGTTGGATGTCTACGCATTGGCAAAAACATTAGTATATGACGCCTTGGGATGAGAATGCATTGATATATATATATATATATATATATATATATATATATATATATATATATATATATATATATATAAAACCACCATTCTTCAAGTAAATACATATGTACTATCACGTGTACTGTCCATTTAAAGGGTTTACTATCCAAAAGGCGGATGTTGACGTATGGTCAAAAGACGTCCCAAGACGTCAGTTATATGACGTCTTGGGATGAGACTGCGCTGACTATCTCTTTAAAGAAAGATTGGGGATGTCAGCTGAAAAGGAAAGCCTATTTGTGGACCAATATATGAAAAAAAAAAAAAAAAAAAAAAAACTTTTCTTCTTATTTGGAATATAAGCAATAAGATTTGCATTAGAGATTTTAATTTCATCTTGACTTCAATATGGTCAATGTCAAAAATAACTCATCAACTCCACAAAAAGTAAATCATTTTCTTTCTTAAATGTCTCATTCTGTAATACAATGCATTCCAGTTTTCTTCCAACCATAATGGCTGATGCAGGAAGGCCTAAATTGTATTTGAGGTCTCGTCAGACCCTCTTCTTTTGTGATTCAACTTAATTTTCTCTACTTTGAAAAAAAAAAAAAAAAAAGCAAAGCCTTGTGTCCTTTGTAGGTTTATTGTGGAGGGATAAAGAAAGGAAATGAGTTGAAATTTGATGGAGACAGAGGAGATAAAAGCTGAAATAGCAGAGAGGAGAATGGGAATGAAAATAGTGACATCTAAACAAATCAAAACATTAGAGCTTATCAACAGGACGAGCGTGCGCTCGCTGGACCACTGCTCCTCGTAAATACTACCGTGTATTGTGCACATTATTTTTTTGACAGACATCGATGTCTTGATATTTAAATGATGGATCGTAAGGTTATACTCATTTATTTCTTAGTCGGCAAGTATTCAGTGAAGTGATTGATGCCCATGCGTGTGTTATGTCGATGCTTTTGATTCCAACCAATAGGCAAAGTTTTTGATTGACGCGATACCATGCGTAAGTGCACTATGTTTGTTTTCTGGGTAATTATAAAACGTGCTGGAGGCCTTCGAAATGCTTTTTGTGTTATTCATTTTACTTATTTTACAGAATTAAGTTTATAGCATGGCATAAATAAATGATGTTACTCGGAGTCAGACATGTTTGGCTTGTCTAAAATGTACATTCATCTTTCACAAATTGGTTAAATTTTGAAAATTAAGTACTTGCTTTGATGTAAAAAGTTGTTACGTTTTATTTATTTATTTATTTTTTAACCCATGGAAATGCAGATCCTGTTGTAAATAATAGTGAAAAAAAATCATTTTCAAAAACTTTTTTGACTAGATAGTACTGTTCAAAAGTTTCGGGTAGTACGTTTTTTTTTTTTTTTTTTAAGAAATTGATACTTTTATACAAGAAGGACGCATTTAAAGGAGTAGTTCACTTTTGAAAAAAAAAAAAAAAATGCTGATAATTTACTCACCCCCATGTCATCCAAGATGTCCATGTCATTCTTTCTTCAGTCGAAAATAAATGAAGGTTTTTGATGAAACGATTGCTCATTTAATAAAAAAATAAAAAAAAAAGTTTAAGTTTTATAAGCTCAAATGCTCGCCTTGCTCTGTTCTGTGACACACGTTTGTGACGCTCATGTTCGAACTCGTTCATCAAAATGAACAAATCTTTTTTCGAGTCATTTGGTTCATTCATCGAACGAAACTAACGAATTGACTCAGAAAAAGATTTGTTAATTTTGATGAACGAGTTCGAACAGGAGAGTCACGAACGTGCATCGCAGTACAAGTGAACTACTCCTTTAACTGATTAAATATTAAAGTCTATCTATCTATCTATCTATCTATCTATCTATCTATCTATCTATCTATCTATCTATCTATCTATCTATCTATCTATCTATCTATCTATCTATCTATCTATCTTTCTGAAATATAGTTGACCTCAGTTCTACTTCATTTTCCACGTTCCACTGCATTTTGCACACAGGTGGAGGTTCAATCAGTATACTTCTTTGACCTTGCAGTCTGCGCTGACGACAAAACTTATATCATGCAGACTGTCCACGTTCCGGTCCAGCCTCCAGATAGTCTGTGTGTTGTCATTTTCCTGAAGTATAGGCTTAAGTGTCAGTCCGGTGGACATACACATCATTTCCGACTGAATGGCTACAGTGAGATCTGTGTCTGAGGTTCAGTCGAGGACAGCCGAGTGCTAACCTCATTTTGTTGAGCACGCTCTTACTTAATGACCAGCCAGCCCACACAAATTACCATGGAAACGAGGCTATAAAAGTCTCCACTTCATTCCTCACCCCTCCACACATCCCGTATGCAAATGAACTGGTTTTATAACTCCTGAGATTTCCCCGTCTAGACCTCAGGGGTTAAGTTAACATGGAGAGTAATTCATCCTGCATGCGATCTAATGTTAATGACACTCTGAGATTTAGGGCTTTCACTGTGACATTGACGAGCAAAGACAAGGCTCATTTAAACCAGTGTGTATTCATTTTATCAAACTATACTCCTCCTTACCTGTCTAGAATGGCCAATATACAGGCACTTAATTAACAAGTGTGTTTTAATTAAACCACCCCAGAGAGTTTCAGAGCGGCACATGTATCTTCCGTCTAAAAAAGGGGAGTCCAAGAAGCGCCTAAAGCCAGCCGAAAGAAGTCTCCATGAAATCATAATGAACATATACTTTTTAAAGTGCATGATTGATTATTTCAAAGACGGAACAAACAACAACTTCACATCATAATCACTTTTCTTTTTCGACTGATGTAACAGTTTCTCAAATCTCCCCTCCAGCTGCCTCATTCTTGCACTTTTCATTATTTTATCAGTATTTTTCTTTGTTAAATGCTTTCACTTTGAGGTATTTCATAATACAGAAAGAAAATCATTTGTGAATGTGCTTCATAATTTCAAGGCAAGTGTGTAATTTCAAAACCACTAGCATCGCAAAATGATATTGTAAAAAATAATGATGTTTGGAATACTACATTACTCAGTATAAAGACTATACTGTATACTTTGCACAGTATGCAGTTTTTCTGTATGACCTAGCGTACTACATCTGACAAAATGATCTTCCATTTGGGTGACCGATAAACTGGAAGAATCTATTTCTGGGCTCTTTTTTTTTTTTTTTTTTTTCAATTTATCCTACAGTCAAATATGCTTTGCACCAAATTGGATTCAAATTGAAAAATGATTTTCAAAATGAGAACTGAATGCCAAGGTCATGTGACAAACACAGTAAAGTCATGTGAAAGCGATGTGGCATATTTGATTTATTGTCAATTCATGCATTCTATTTAACCTTATTTTTTGTATTTTATTTATTAGTAGGCTGTATATAGTTTTGTACAACACTTGTAACATGCAAGCTAGAGTTCCATTCCAAAAAAAAATAAAAAATAAAAATAAATGATAATGACAGTTTTTATTTATTTATTTGGAAATATTGTGATTCAGAAGAGCTTGTGCTATGACGGACACTATCACAGTCCCTATAGTTATCTTTCAAAATAAGGTCCTGGCAGCTTTTGCTTTGCAGTATGCATTGTCACTACATATTGAGCTGGGATTACATCTGGTGTATGGAGTCTGGACAGGCAGCTCTCTCTCTCTCTCTCTGTCAAACGCTCTGATGGATGGATGTTTGCTTACCCAGCAGTATGACGATGCACACCAGAATAGCGATCAAGGCTCCGGTACTGAGTCCCACAGGGAGGAAAATGGCTTCAGCGCTGCATGTTAATAAAGATCCCTCGGTGTCACAGCCACACACACGGATGGTGAGAGTACTGGTACTGCTCAAAGTCTGAAGGCCACCGTCCTCAATCAACACTGGAAGGTGGTAGATCTCCTGAGACCACCTTTTGAAACCACTACGCAGGGCCACGACCCCAGCAGTGTTATCTACAAAAAAAACAAAAAACAGCAGACATTTTAATAAATGTCTTGCCAAAATATTTTGTTGCAGTTTTCTCAAATGAAAAGTAATTTTTGTAATATTAATATTATTAATTTATTAGGAATATTTATTTTGAATATATATATATATATATATATATATATATATATATATATAAATTATTTCTAGTCTATTTCTGCTGTGCTGCAGGCGCTGAAATAAAGTGACAGCGCATGGTTTGTGGTCAAACTGAACATGTATTGACATGAAAATATAGTAAATAAATGCATTTAATTAAATTAATAATAAGTAATGCATTGAATACAATTATTGGGTTTTAACCATAGGTTTAAACTTGAATATGTCTGTGAAAGAATGCATATTAGGCTATACATTTTTTTAAACAACATGGAAATAATGACAATTCTGTATATTAATTATTTTATGGGCTTAAATTACAACCTGTGGGCAGTTTTTCTAGATCCTTTTGTTAACTTCGTTTTACATGTTGATGCACAGCTAAAAGTGCCGTCGGAGCTATCAATCTCTGTACAACGGCCGCCGGAGCCCTCTGCTGGTAGGGAATCGTAAGATGGCCGCTCGAACACTTCTGGTAGCTTCACTGCCTGGTGGCAGTTTAGAACGTCATGAGCTATCCAGTCATTATAAAGATCAGTGGTTGTAAGTGGGTTATGGTCTGGCAAAGCATCATAGACAAATCATTTCCATAGGGGCGTCACCAACGGACGTCGCGGATAGACCTGCGAAGGAGATGACGTATGCAGAGCGGCGGAGAGAAACATCTTCAAGTGTCAAGTCAAAGTCAAAGTCAAGTCAAACTTTAAGATCCCTTTTGGGCAATTTGGGTGCAGCACAGATAGACAGACACAAACTGACACATGCAGTACATCAAAACAGAAATTCAAAAAGCATAAATATATGATTATTAAAAAAACAAAGAATAAAAAATATATAAAAACCTTAATAAATACCTTTAAGAATCATTTAGTAGTCTAATTGCACTCGAAACAAAAGAGAATTTGTTAACATACCTCCGAGTGCTGTTCTTTGCTCGGTTTTTCACAAAAAGGAAATGTTAAAATCGCTTAAAACAGACGCGATAGCTGATTCGAACGAGTGACGTTCGACGGCTGCATCCATCTAGGCTACAAAATCTGCTTGTCGACCTTGACGCTGAAGTTTTTGTATAAAGCCCGCCCCAACGTTTCTGATTGGTGCCTCGATTTCGACGGATTGGAAATGGACTTGAATCTTTGCCAGACTAACTTTCAGAGCAAATCGAAATTTACCGGAAGTTGTCTGGGTTTTCCCAGGTTACACAGCTATTGATTGTTAGCTGATTTTGTTGACAACCCGTCTGCAGGAATTATGCTTGTGTCATTGTTATTGAACATAACCGCTGCATCCTTCATGCAGATGATTTTGTGCATCACAAAGAGCTCTCTTGCATGATTTTTCATAGTGAACAAACAATTCAGTGTTCAATGTACTATGCAGCAGTTCAACAAGGAAATCACACTACAGCTGAGTGCCGAATCCCCCTCAGGCGTCGAAATAAAATGCTTTATCTCTTTGAGGAGGCTGTTTGAGCCTGAACATTCATCTGCAATGATTTCAGGAGGTAGAGAAGCTCTTTCACAATCTACTGTCTAGTGACCTACTGTAACATTGCTGGTCAACTGAGATTTATAACATCCTGAAGGCTACTTCATCTCTCTGACTCAGTTCCAAACCCAACAGAATCGGACATGTTCATGCTTCTAATCTTGAAAAAAATCATACTTCTAAATGGGGCTGAGATAAGGCTACTTCTAATGCTGAATAACATATTTATAATCAACATTTCCCTTGACAGCTACTATTTTAAAAGGTGTGTTTTAAAATGGCAAACATCTTTTTACAATTACAGTGTTAATTGACATGATTAAACTTGGACAGGTAAATGCACACTAAATATAACTACACACAGCTCAGTCTATTAGAATTTAACAAAATATTTCACTACAACTGTGCTGTAAGGGACGTATGCAAATCTGTGAATCATTTTTTGACTTAAACAAACTGATTCATTAAGGTGAATCAGACTCCTCTGCACAGCATATTCGTTTTATGAACTGAACAAACTGATTCATATGACAACATATTCAGAAGACAGAGACACAACATCACACACACACACACACACACACACACACACACACACATATATATATATATATATATATATATATATATATATATGAAGAGTTCAGATGCAAAAGCCTCTAAATGCCATTTGAAATTTTCTTCTTTAATGATGATTTGTATCAAGCTTGTATATTTAAGTTCAGTAATTTCACTTAAATGGCAATGATAATTACCTATTAATTGTTATTTAAGTGAAATTACTGAACTTAAATATACAAGTTTGATAAAAATCATCATTAAAGAAGAAAATTTCAAATGGCATTTAGAGGCTTTTGCATCTGAACTCTTCATATATATATATATATATATATATATATATATATGACATGATTGTTTTGCTGCACACTGTTTTGAACAGACATCTTATGATGATAGTGCTGCTATGATCTCTAAAAATGTGACTCTATGTCACAAAACTAAACAGAATTGTGTTTTTCACAAGATAATTTTCCTTGTAGCAACACTCATGCTCCAGTCATAAAGGTTAAATGGCAATAAACAATGTAGCTGTTTGTGTTTTTTTTTTAATTAAGTGCAATGTATTTGGTGTTTTAATGTTCAGAGAAATTACATGTTGTCAAAAGACTTTGCCGGCATCATGGTTGCTGTAAGTTGCTGGTTCTGAACTCTGATCAGTCCACCTGACCTTGTCTCTGTGACTTTATGCTGACCGCATTTTCTTGACGGGTGGGCATTTTCAAGAAAGTCTTGCATGTTACAGGTAGACCCTTTTTATCTCTTTTTTTTTCTGGACTGCCCTCAGCAGAAACTGTCACCTTGTCCCAGTAAATCACATCTTAAGAATGCATTCATGCCTAAAGTGAGGACAGCCATTCCATAAGGCCACAAATAGTGAACGTAGAGGAAGAATAGCACGTCAGCTGCATTATAGTAAACAATTACATAAAACAGTTTTATGATTTTCATTGAATTAAATCATTTTTAACCTAATGTTTGCATGCACAAAGATAAATTTTAAGTGTATATATATATATATATATATATATATATATATATATAAAATACTGAAAACAAAAATTTGAATGACACAAGCTTGTGATGCTTAAATGAAATAAACAGATGCTTAAATGAAATAAAAAGTACATGTATTATTTTTTTTTCTGATGATTTTTCTATTTTATTACCAATTTAATTATGGATTTAATCATTTATATAAATAACGCAACATTCATTTATGAATATAATTTTGAGTAATTTGGCCCTCCATACACTTGTGTTTGAAATTATATATATATATATATATATATATATATTTTATTTTTTTTTTCCTTCCAAACAGATCACTTGACAAGAAAATAACAGACAGACTCACTCCCAAAGTCTCTGATGGTGAAGTTTTTGGTCTTTACTCCCTCTTGAGGGGATTTGAAGGAAAATCTTTGTCCGGCTTGAGGGAGATCCTGGTCAGTTGCACTGATGACCTGAACCACCTGTGACACAAAAGTTAATCGAGAGATTTTTGATCAGGGTTTCAGAATAGATCATAAACAGTCTCTGATGGCACATTTCATCACTGCTGGACACCCATAATGTGGCAAAAATGTAAATTTAAAGCCACCATGAAATCAAAATGTTATTAAATAATTTATATGTGCACATCGACCTCTTTTTTTAAAATCATGTGCCCTTAATAATCTTAAATCAAGTCAACCCTTTCCTCTTTTAAGCAACATCTCTTCTCTAATGGAGTGAGGGTGGGGCAATGTGTCACTCACATGAGATCCACCAATAGCAGCAAACAACAATCAATTTCCCCATGGACAAAACCAAGCCCTGCCCTACATTCCTCTCATTCAAGAAACAGTTTCACTCAGATATGTCACAATAGGGAATAAAATACGAATACAACCTCTGTTTAAATGTTTTACGGTGAAAATTAATGTTCATGCATTTTTCTAATGATTTATGAAGGTTATTAGTAAACTCAGGCAATTATATAAAACTTTATTAAATATAAATTATTAAAATTGAAATGAATATATTCAGTTATTTATGGACAAACTATAGTCATAAATAAAGATTATCTGAAACCATGGGGGTGTTTTAAAAGAGAGTGTAGAAAACTAATTTTTCACAACTAATGGAGATATATATATATATACACACAGCCACATAATATACTTTATAAGAAAAACAACCTGATTTACAGTGTGTTATGTATATGATGCAATTAAACTCACAACATTAAATGAAGCATAATTAAAAAACAAGACACAAGTGGATGAATGTACGCATCTAGCCGGAAACATGTGCTCAATAATAACGTTTAAAACACTGCTCCTGTGGTTTTTCTTCTCCATTCTGCATCTAAAACCAATTAGTCTGCTTTCACATCCAGTGATCATGATACACTGTGCACTAACATCGCAAGCAGATCGATCTTCTGTGGCTAGCAGACATCCGTACCGCCCACCCTCCCGCTGGCATCACCTGTTGTAGAGCTGTCACTGGCACCACAGGTGCATGCTGGGTAGGACGATTAGCGCAGCTCTAATGCATCACTTACCCACCAGGCTCTTCCTGTCCAATGTATCAATCAACAGTTCTGCCCGGAAGTGTCATACTTATTCAAAGTAAGAAAAGGAGAATTTTTAATGGAAGTGTTTTTCTTTTCTTTTTTTCCCTCTGGGCATCAAGTGAGGCAGGAATGTGAACATAAAATAAAATATATTGTATAAATGGCTGTTTTTTTAGAAATGTTTTCCTGTTAACTCTGAGGTTCAGTGGTTATAGAGGGTAATACACAGTAGATTAGGAAATACATGGACACACACACTAACACACTGTACCTGGCTAGAACAGGGAATGTACTGCACTTGCTGGAATTAATGAGAGTGTCAGAGTCTGTCATACATCATCTTAAATGGCTCATTAGACCAGAATTGGTTTTCGACATGCAAACACACACACATGCACACACAACCATTTACATGCACTCACCTGCCCGGCTTTGGCGCTCTCACACACGAAGGTCTCGTAAGGCATGGCCAGCTCTGGTGGAAACTCATTAATGTCCAGCACATGAACTGTGACGGCCACTCTGCTGGTCAGTACTGGGTTATCTACACAAACAACACACACGTAAGATATTATGACAAACAGCACGCTGTGTCACTCATTACACACATCACAATGCACACGTTTACAGTCGTTCTTCATTTTGGGGAACTTTCCTGTTCATTGATAATTTTAAAGATGTAACATCAAAATAAACATTGCAATATCTACACTATGATTCATTTATATTAGCTTCATTTGATAAAATCAGCTTTGAATGGTGAAAATGAGGGTAAGGGTCTTCAGTAAGATTTTTTTTTTTTTTTTTTACTTTTTTTAAGAAAAGCAATGTAATACTTTGTATATGTTTAAATCATCAAAAGTGACAGTACAGACATTTATAACACCCAAACAGAGTGTTTAAAACAGAATCATCTATATACATGTTATAACTGCAGGTATGATGGATCCAGAACCGCTTTGTTAGATTGGATCACATTAATAACTCCACACTTTCTTCACTAATATCATACATAGACGGCATATCACATGAGCTTTCTATTGAGGAACCAAAAGGTCTGAAAAAATAATTTACAGGCATAAAAAAGAGTGGTACACTGTACTAATGATTTGAACATTATATCTAAACCATACTACTATACTGCCACCATGTGGTTTTACATTGATAATTGAATGTTTAAATACTATTCTATTCTATTCTATTTATAAAACTAGTCTTATGTCTTTCATAATTTTCTTAACTGAATGACATGGTTAGTAAAATAACACTAGATAATCCAAGAACTTTCTAGCTGACACACAAGGTCATTGGTGTCCTCTCTGGCACTGCTGTTGATGTTCGAACACATCTTGCTGATATTGTTTGAGCGGGCAGTGTGTGGAGGTGAACATCAGTGCGGAATAAACTTTTATAGATCAGATCCGTGAGATGGGCTCAGCATGTCTGAGGAGAAGGTGAGAAGGCTTAGAACGAGGGATCTGAACTCATCCCTCCCAGGGGTCCCGTATAAAGCCAAGACCTGTGGGCGACCTTGATGAAGATGAGCAATCTTCCTGGAGAGAAAGAGAGTCTGTGAGTGTGTCTGTGTGTGTGTGTGTGTGTGTGTGTGTGTGTGTGTGTGTGTGTGTGCGCGCAGCTGTTTGTTACTTCAGCTTCAGGGACTCCAGGATGTCTGATGTCCAGTAAAAAAAAAAAAAAAAAAAAAATAATAAAAATAATATTGTTGCTACAATTTATCTGAGATCTGACATATAATTCTCCAGGCCTTGTGCTTCTGCCTCAAATTACTAGTTGTGTAGCCAATACTGGAGTTTTGAAAGAGATAAAAAAAGGCTAACTAAACGTTAAATGCCAAATTTGAACACACATATTATTTTTTTATGTTCATACATGGCAACACATTATAATTTTCTAACTTAAAGCTGTATTCTGTAAAACTTTGTGTGCTAAAAAATTATGCAAGAGTCTCGGCTAGTAGATTATATCGAGTCATTACGTCACATCTGTACACATAAAGAAGAGTCTCGGCTAGTAGGCTATATTGAGTCGTTACGTCACATCTGTACACATAAAGAAGAGTCTCGGCTAGTAGACTATATTGAGTCATTACACCACATCTGTACTCATAAAGAAGAGTCTCGGCTAGTAGACTATATTGAGTCGTTACATCACATCTGTACACATAAAGAAGAGTCTCGGCTAGTAGACTATATTGAGTCGTTACATCACATCTGTACACATAAAGAAGAGTCTCGGCTAGTAGACTATATTGAGTCATTACGTCACATCTGTACACATAAAGAAGAGTCTCGGCTAATAGACTATATTGAGTCGTTACGTCACATCTGTACACATAAAGAAGAGTCTCAGCTAACAGACTATATTGAGTCGTTACGTCACATCTGTACACATAAAGAAGAGTCTCGGCTGGTAGACTATATTGAGCCGTTACGTCACATCTGTACACATAAAGAAGAGTCTCGGCTAATAGACTATATTGAGTCGTTACGTCACATCTGTACACATAAAGAAGAGTCTCGGCTGGTAGACTATATTGAGTCGTTACGTCACATCTGTGCACATAAAGAAGAGTCTCGGCTAGTAGACTATATTGAGTCGTTACATCACATCTGTACACATAAAGAAGAGTCTCGGCTAGTAGACTATATTGAGTCATTACGTCACATCTGTACACATAAAGAAGAGTCTCAGCTAACAGACTATATTGAGTCGTTACGTCACATCTGTACACATAAAGAAGAGTCTCGGCTAGTAGACTATATTGAGTCGTTACGTCACATCTGTACACATAAAGAAGAGTCTCGGCTAGTAGGCTATTTTAAGTCGTTACGTCACATCTGTACACATAAAGAAGAGTCTCGGCTAGTAGACTATATTGAGTCGTTACGTCACATCTGTGCACATAAAGAAGAGTCTCGGCTAGTAGACTATATTGAGTCATTACGTCACATCTGTACACATAAAGAAGAGTCTCGGCTAGTAGACTATATTGAGTCGTTACGTCACATCTGTACACATAAAGAAGAGTCTCGGCTAGTAGACTATATTGAGTCGTTACGTCACATCTGTACACATAAAGAAGAGTCTCGGCTAGTAGGCTATTTTAAGTCGTTACGTCACATCTGTACACATAAAGAAGAGTCTCGACTAGTAGACTATATTGAGTCATTACGTCACATCTGTACGCATAAAGAAGAGTCTCGGCTAGTAGACTCTATTGAGTCGTTACGTCACATCTGTACACATAAAGAAGAGTCTCGGCTAGTAGACTATATTGAGTCGTTACGTCACATCTGTACACATAAAGAAGAGTCTCGGCTAGTAGACTATATTGAGTCGTTACGTCACATCTGTACACATAAAGAAGAGTCTCAGCTAACAGACTATATTGAGTCGTTACGTCACATCTGTGCACATAAAGAAGAGTCTCAGCTAACAGACTATATTGAGTCGTTACGTCACATCTGTGCACATAAAGAAGAGTCTCGGCTAGTAGACTATATTGAGTCATTACGTCACATCTGTACTCATAAAGAAGAGTCTCGGCTAGTAGACTATATTGAGTCGTTACGTCACATCTGTACACATAAAGAAGAGTCTCGGCTAGTAGACTATATTGAGTCGTTACGTCACATCTGTACACATAAAGAAGAGTCTCAGCTAACAGACTATATTGAGTCGTTACGTCACATCTGTGCACATAAAGAAGAGTCTCGGCTAGTAGACTATATTGAGTCATTACGTCACATCTGTACTCATAAAGAAGAGTCTCGGCTAGTAGACTATATTGAGTCATTACGTCACATCTGTACACATAAAGAAGAGTCTCGGCTAATAGACTATATTGAGTCGTTACGTCAAATCTGTACACATAAAGAAGAGTCTCGGCTGGTAGACTATTTTGAGTCGTTACGTCACATCTGTACACATAAAGAAGAGTCTCGGCTAGTAGACTACATTGGGTCGTTACGTCACATCTGTACACATAAAGAAGAGTCTCGGCTAGTAGGCTATATTGAGTCATTACGTCAAATCTGTACACATAAAGAAGAGTCTCGGCTAGTAGACTATATTGAGTCATTACGCCACATCTGTACTCATAAAGAAGAGTCTCGGCTAGTAGACTACATTGAGTCATTACGTCACATCTGTACACATAAAGAAGAGTCTCGGCTAGTAGACTACATTGGGTCGTTACGTCACATCTGTACACATAAAGAAGAGTCTCGGCTAGTAGGCTATATTAGGTCGTTACATCACATCTGTACACATAAAGAAGAGTCTCGGCTAGTAGACTACATTGGGCCGTTACGTCACATCTGTACACATAAAGAAGAGTTTTGGCTAGTAGACTATATTGAGTCGTTACGTCACATCTGTACACATAAAGAAGAGTCTCGGCTAGTAGACTACATTGGGTCGTTACGTCACATCTGTACTCATAAAGAAGAGTCTCGGCTAGTAGACTACATTGGGTCGTTACGTCACATCTTTACACATAAAGAAGAGTCTCGGCTAGTAGGCTACATTGAGTCGTTACATCACATCTGTACACATAAAGAAGAGTCTCGGCTAGTAGACTATATTGAGTCGTTACATCACATCTGTACACATAAAGAAGAGTCTCGGCTAGTAGACTATATTGAGTCGTTACGTCACATCTGTACACATAAAGAAGAGTCTCGGCTAGTCGACTATATTGAGTCGTTACATCACATCTGTACACATAAAGAAGAGTCTCGGCTAGTAGACTACATTGGGTCGTTACGTCACATCTGTACACATAAAGAAGAGTCTCGGCTAGTAGGCTACATTAAGTTGTTACGTCACATCTGTACACATAAAGAAGAGTCTCGGCTAGTAGACTATATTGAGTCGTTACATCACATCTGTACACATAAAGAAGAGTCTCGGCTAGTAGACTATATTGAGTCGTTACGTCACATCTGTACTCATAAAGAAGAGTCTCGGCTAGTAGACTACATTGGGTCGTTACGTCACATCTGTACACATAAAGAAGAGTCTCGGCTAGTAGGCTACATTAAGTCGTTACGTCACATCTGTACACATAAAGAAGAGTCTCGGCTAGTAGGCTACATTAAGTCGTTACGTCACATCTGTACACATAAAGAAGAGTCTCGGCTAGTAGACTATATTGAGTCGTTACATCACATCTGTACACATAAAGAAGAGTCTCGGCTAGTAGACTATATTGAGTCGTTACGTCACATCTGTACACATAAAGAAGAGTCTCGGCTAGTCGACTATATTGAGTCGTTACATCACATCTGTACACATAAAGAAGAGTCTCGGCTAGTAGACTATATTGAGTCATTACGCCACATCTGTACACATAAAGAAGAGTCTCGGCTAATAGACTATATTGAGTCGTTACGTCACATCTGTACACATAAAGAAGAGTCTCGGCTAGTAGACTATATTGAGTCGTTACGTCACATCTGTACACATAAAGAAGAGTCTCGGCTAGTAGACCACAATGCTGATGTTGTTAACATTAACAATTTGAGAACAATGTAAAATTTCCATGGTACGTGATATAATAAGCAATCGTTAGATTTCATCAGCAAGATATACTGCAATGCTTTTTTCCCCCTTAGTTGGTCACAGCAAAAGTGGATGCATTATTCACAACGGTGCGTGACTGACAGCTGCACACTCTCCTCAAAACATTGGATTCATCTGTGCTGTTCCGCGCCGGGGCACAACCCACGTAAAGTTTATAATTCCGCAGAAAACGGCAATTGCATATTTCAAACAGAGAGGAAAAACTACAAACTGCAGCTTTAACTTTTAGACATTTCTATTTGTCATTACATAAAGCTTAACATATGATTAACCTATGGACAATATCAATAGTATCTTGAAAATAATTTAAGAATTCAGGGTGTGAACTTTGACCCATAATTCTGTATGACTGTCTTTTAAGTGTGTGTGTTTCATGTTGATGAAAATGTTGAGGTTCCTCTGGAAAATGTACTACTATATTCTACAGGCTTTACACTGAACAGCACATGAACAAACAGTTCTTCATCGTATCTGCTTGTCAGAAAAAAAAAATAGACGTATGAACACACAAAACATTTAGATATTAATCTCAATATGCAATGGACATCGGTTATGCTTATATATTTTAGGCAGCTCTATATGAAATTGAAGTCAATTGTAATTGACAAATGACCTCAAAATTCATAAGCTATCTAGGCCTACTTATTTTTAATGATTGAATAAGTAATGCATAAGGAGATTATAATGAACATAATCAATAATGATGTTGTTAATGTTACATTTTGCATCATATTTCATAGAACATATAATTTAAACCTTGTAAGCTTTATGGCTTCAAGGACGGATTTAACCACTAGATGGAGATGTTGTGTAACAGTGAAATCACCAGACTTTAAGACAGAGTAACAAACAGTAAATGTGCCTTTATAAGAGTGATGTTTTTGTCATTTGCTTTGCATGTTTGAAACAGTTTGTGTACATTAACTTGTATATGAGAAACACACTTTCCTTTTCATTAACTTGATTGTGGCCCCATTTTCAACTGGTATTCATGTTAACGGCAAATAATTATGTCTGCTGAAACACATTTTTTTTTCTAACTGTAGAGTAAAAAACTGTTTTATTCAGCTTGCTGACTATTCATAAAAGGGATTATGTAAATCAAGGGTATCTGTGTGTTCTATGGGCAGAAGTTTTCATCATGTGCAACAAGCGTGAAATGTTTGGAAACTGTGTGCTGACTTGTGCTTTCCTCAGCATTTTCATACTTAGTACAATATGATTCAGAGACTCCAGAACATCTGGAATTCCACCTGGTGTGACATTAACACTTCTAAAAAGCTCAGGAGAGAGAGAAAAACAAGAATCTGTGATATATGCTAGACTAGCTTGTGATGGTGTTAAACAGGTGCTCATCTCATAATCACTGGCTCTGAGAGACATAAAAACAGTCACGCGTGTTTTACAAGACTCTATAATGCTAGTGAGGGTATTGCACATCACACACTGGAGAAATAAGCATTTATGAGATGTAAGATGTTAAAAAAAAATGATGGTTAAATACTTTTTGTGTTCATATAAATGTACAGCTCCAAATGGTCAAAGTGTGTGGAAAAGTTTTAACAAACTAACTAACTTTTAGGGACATGCACATGGACTTTTCAGTTGGGATGCCTGAACAAAGATCAGAAATATATCGTATGATATATATGTATATGATAATGTAACAATATATATATAGTTATGCATGTATATATATACACATACATACATACATTTTATTTGATATAATATAATCTGGTATTTAATTTTTTTTAATCAAGGTTTTAATCAGTAAATACAATATTTTTTCAAACAAAGTAAATAATATAAATGTGTTATCCAAACAGTCAAAAATAGTAGAGATGGCTTAGATTATCAATAATTGAAATATAATCTTTTTTTTTCTAATATTCAGAAAGGCATGAGTTATGAATAAAAGACTATGTGCTCTGTGATTTTTCTTAATCTGAATGATTCCATAAGTGCCAAAGGAACAGAATGTAAAACTGATAGTGAAGAACGAAAAAAAAAAAATGGATAAAAACTGAGTTTCTAACACATGGTGGACAATTCCCACTGCAGCAGAAGAGTGGAGTGTAATGGCTCTGACTTCTGCTAAGTCTCTCCAAAATTAGCTTTAGAAATCACAATTAGCATATCACCAGTGCAACCTTGAGAGACAGTGAGTAATAACGTTACCATGGTGATAAAGGCTCAACTTTTAATGACCTCTCATCCCCATTCCGTCTTAATGAATGCGAGTCGCCGGGTTTGTAATTTTGATTGAGGACTACATAGCCTCCAAGATAATGGCTTTGGTGACTTCTCAGCGGATTTGACGACTTGATGACGATGGATTTGCTTATTTACACGGTGATTCAATCCACGGATCTTTTCCGACACAAACACAATTACAGCAATGACAAGTTTGACGTTGGGGCATGATCGCCTTTCAAATGGCTTCCTAAAATAGTCATTGCGAAATGTAGTTTGCAATCCCTTTTACTTCCATAATCTGAAGGCCTTTCTAAATGAAATAGCATATTCGACCAGAAAGATAAAAATCGTTGGCCGGGATTCGGACTTTGAGCATTGATTGGCTTATGAAAAGTGGATGTTGTTTAGCACAACTGAGGTGACTGGAGAGGGGGCTGACATTGAAAAATGTTAACTTATTTAACCAGTAGTAGTAACCAAACTCCATCGCACACCTGCAGGTGATAGGTGCGTCAGATAATAAGACCAGCTAGTCATTCAAGCAGATAAGGATCTTCCGCACACTATCATTACTTGCACTTTTTAATCAAGTTTATTCACACACAACGTTTCGGTCACACGACCTTCGTCAGGAGTACTCCTGACGAAGGTCGTGTGACCGAAACGTTGTGTGTGAATAAACTTGATTAAAAAGTGCAAGTAATGATAGTGTGCGGGAGTTCCTTATCAACTTATTTAACCAAAAATTATGCATGGGTTAAGATTAACCTGCTCAAACTAAATGCATCTCTATAGCACGCAGTATGTTTATAGTGCAATTTATATGCGGAAATGAGTTTTTACAAGCTCATTAAAAACTCATTACACTCGGAAAAAAACTCGGAAATGAGTTTTTAACCATGGGTTGGTTAGGGTAGGTTTAGTAATGGTGCGGGGTGCATGTGTATTACACGTTTGGTTAGAATTAGTGGTGTGTGGGGTGCGTGTGTATTACACACAAATTAACTGCGTATCAAATATGCAAAAACTGTGTATCATATGCACGTAAAAACTAATTTTCGCGTATAAATTGCGCAATAATACACAATGCGTGCTATAGAGACACAGAACAGGCTGTTTAGGGATAGGTTCAGGGTTAGTACCTTTTTATTACCCAGTTATTGTTATTGCTTAAAAAGTTCATAGTATGTACACGTGGAAAATAACTGTAAAATAAAGCGCTACAGTAAAAGGAATTTGGGGATGCCATCCAAACAGGAAAGTAATTTAAGGGGTGGAGAATGTTAAATAAATAGAAGAAAATAAATAATAAAATAGTTTTCTCTTTGTTATAAAATATTTAAAATAAATGCTGTTCTTTCAAAGTTTATATTCATTAAGAATCCTGAAAAAAAAAAACTACCACTCTTTTCACAAAAAATAAAAAGATAAAAAAAAATAGGTAGCAGTATTTCCAAAAGTGATAATAATCAGAAATGTTTCTCGAACAGCGAATCAGCATCATGTGACACTAACTGGAGCAATGATGTTGAAAATCCAGTGTTGTATCACAGGAATAAATTAAATTTTAAAATATATTCAAATAGAAAACTGTTATTTTAAATTGTAATAATATATAACAATATTGCAGTTTTACTATATTTTCCTTGGTGAGCATAAACAGAAACATTTTTTAAAAAAATCTTGCAGATGTTGCAGATATAACATGCACCAATGAATTATGACCATTGAAAATATAAACTGTCATTTTTGGTTTCAATCTGACTTTAAAACACCTTATCATTAATGTTTTATCATTGCATTAAGACATAATGTGAGACTAAGTCTTCTATAAATGACCACACTGATGGCAAGGAACAATTAATTCACCAGCAGTTTAAGAACTTGGGAATACATCAATTGTTAAACTCAGGAGGTCAAGGAGAAAAGAAAGACACTGTAGTAATGATACATATTCCAGGAGAGTCCTCATATTTTATGAATGCTCGTAAAAAGCAGATTTAATGGAATTCGCTGCTGACTGCGCAGTGATGGGCCACCGTAAATCCGTTGAAAAAGACAATTGGACTTTTATGAATCACTTCTGAGGTTCACAGCCATACTTACTAACTTTAGTGGCCACAACTGAAATGTTGTGCTGCGCTATACTCTCCCTGTCCAGAAGCTCATTGGTCGAGATGGTTCCTCTGACGGGATCGATGTCGAAGAAGCTGTCCAGGTCGCTCTTCCAGTCAATGGAATACCTGAAGAACAAAGAACAGGTTTAGTTTAGAGGGGCACATTCACCCTTACTAAGCTAGGCACCACTGTAGGCGATGTTCAAGAGTATATATTACCATTTTTGTCCCTTTTTTCTTATCCTCACAGTTTTGCACAGTGCTCATTATGTTTGATTTAGTCATGCGGCAAGCAGGCATGGAAATATTGTGCACTCTAGCGAACTGCTACTGTATGTGTGGGTCCAGTTTTGAACAGCTGTGATGTCGGTGTAATAGCCTAGCGACCTTGTTAACACACCCCGTAACCATTCTCAGGGGGTGTTTTACATGTGTCTCGGGGAGACTTCGCACCCCAGTATATGCATGAGAAAGCTTGGTTTGCGATGACCTCGTTCACATATACTTGACGGTTTGGACTCATTCTCTCACAAATATTTTTTTTTCCAACCTGAACTTTTGGATGTATTAATGCAGGCTGGTATTTTCAACACTGCTTGTTTGTTTATTTGTGGCTTGACCTAGAATTGAGCAAAAGGGAAATTAAGTGGGAGAGCTGGGTGAGGTGGGATGCTACGAGGTTTATGGTTTCCACATTTCAGCTGCTGCCTTGTTAAATTTACTCAAAAGGTGGTCAACAAAAAGAAAAAAAGAAAAAACATCTGAGGATTTTTGTGCATTTGCACTGGATTCTCAACAAAAGCCTTTGATGTTCTGATTCACAACCGTTAGGAGACCTGATTCGCCATAATAATCATCATACATACCATACAGAGACTGCAGCAGTGTGAATGTAATGCATTTAAATGACTCATTCTGAATCTGCATGTATTCAAAATCTTTATATAATCAAGCTAAGGTATTAGAAAAAAAAATCACAGTCTGACTCTGAAAATACAGCATGTTAAACTTCGATAATGTAATTATGCCAAGGTGCGTTTAGTTTTTAATATTTTGAAAAATATTGCGCCTCCTCCCCTGAAAACATGTGTCCAGTTTTGTTCTGAACAGATGACTAGGAGTACCAGGTTTACGAGTTGCAATGATTGCAGACTGCCTAAACGTGGTTCGGCCTTCTTTGCACAGACAGCCTTCTCATTTAAAGGCATCAAAGAATGGAACAGACTCCCACAGAGTCTGAAACTTACTTAAGACCTGAAGGATTTTTCTCGCAATACAAGGAAAGTGTTATTAGAATCATGTAAACATAGATGGATGTACATTTTTGTTGGACTTTTTTTTTTTGGACTTGGACTGATGGTTTTAATTAACACAGTCTCATCCCAAGACGTCATACAACTGACCATACGTCAACATCCGCCGTTTTAGGGTACCCTTAAACGCCGGTTAGATGACGATCCTGGGGCGTTACTACCTTTAACGTCAGTTAGGGGACAGGGTAGGTTTAGGTCTGGGGTAGGGTTAGGATTAGATAACATCATCTGACCGACTTTTAAGGGTACCCTAAAACGGCGGCTGTTGACGTATGGTCAAATGGTTGAATTAATTAATTAGTTGTATTTGAGTGACTAATTACATTTTATATTGTATATTTCGTTTTGTAATTTACCTGCTCTGGGACTACAGATGGAAACTAGCTTAAGCTAAATCTGGTGCAAAGCATCTTTAATTAATGTTTTTTCGCACATTGTCCCTGTAGAAATATTTATATATATATATATATATATATGAAGAGTTCAGATGCAAAAGCCTCTAAATGCCATTTGAATTTTTTTTCTAAAATAACCATTTTTATCAAGCTTGTATATTTAAGTTCAGTAATTTCACTTATATGACAATTAATAGGTAATCTTCATTGCCATTTAAGTGAAATTACTGAACTTAAATATACAAGCTTGATAAAAATGATCATTTTAGAAGAAAATTTCAAATGGCACTTAGAGGCTTTTGCATCTGAACTCTTCGTGTATATATACTGTATATATATATATATATATAATCATCAGTGACAGTGCCCGGAATCAGAGGGTACTCCGACCCGGACAATCATCACACATCCATAGACTCCATAATACTTTGCTCAGACTAATCAGCCATGATCAAATCTACCTGTGAGTCATTACCTTGTTTAGCTCACCCCATATACAGTATGCCTAGTTTTCACATTTATTCCCTGCATGGCGGAAATGCACCAATAAGTTGATGCCAACTGCCGTATAATAGCAACAAGAAGAAGAAGTCATTCCCTGCAAAGTCTTGTTTAGTGTATGTACTGCGCTGTGATTGCAGTTTGGGTCTGTGAAAGCGCTATATAAATGCAATCCATTTACCATTTACTGCAATTTCTGAGCATTCTCTCTGTTGATCCCGTGTTCTTGGTGTTTATGATATTTGCCTGTTTCTTGGATTCCCCTTGTGTTTGTTTATATGGACTGCCTTCCTGTGTTCGACCTATACTACTTTGGATTACCCTTTCAATATAAACTGCATTTGGATCCTCAACCTTCGTGTCTCGGAGCAGTAGGCTATGTGACACTGTGTTAATATAGCACATTTCAAAACAGGACATATTTGGGAAAAGAAAAGATCGCTCGAAACCCTCAGGCCATGTTTACACCTGGTATTAAGATGCGTTTTGGTCAATCGGATTACAAGACGAGGGGGACACATCCCCGTTAACATCTGGTGATTTAATCCACCTCATTTGTTCACTTGTCCTGATTTCTAAGAGGGGAGTCTATGTGTGGGTAAATATGTTTTATCAGATCTTTACATCTACTGGACAAAATAAGCTTCAGTAATTTATATATGAACACACAGGGAGCAGCAGCTTTGGTTTCTGCATTTACAGATGCAAGACCGCGCTGAACGCAGTGAGTGCATGTTAGAAATGGTGAGAGAACATTGTGCTTGTTTTTCATTTTCAAAACAAACTTGGGTCTTCAGATGACAGTTTAAATCCTCCCTGGCTAGCGCGCGTCTCATAATGTTTACAGATTAGGTCAGTGGTGAGTTGGCGGTCTTTTGTGGCTGTTTGAACGCATTCGACAACATTAGCATTTACACCACGAAAGCAACCTGATCAAATGCGTTTTCGATCTCTGGAAGTGGTCGGAGGTGGACAAGCTCAAAACATTTTAGACCCTGTTTACACATGTATTTAGCGTCGGCCAAACCACTTCTTAATATGCCAGATTAATAATCTAATGTTTCAGATTAATATGGCATAATGTGTGAGAGAGAAGACAGACATATCTTCTGGTATTGGTTTTCATAAGCCAAATATTTAATATGAAGATCAAACAAGATTACGCGGCAGTGCATGCAACGTTTGTTATTATTTCAAATACAAATCAGTATGGAAACTCTGTTTTATTTAATATTCTATCGGGCCATTGTGGTTTCATTTTTGTGTCAATTTTTTTTTGTGCTACACAAGTTTTGGTTCAATTCTAATTAGCTGATCATTAACCTAATGCATCTGAACAAAGCCTTTTTAATTGATTTTTTTTTAAACAGCAAATGCTGCTGCAACACACACACATTTAAAAAAAAAAAAAAAAAAAAAAAAAAACTTCAAACAGATTTTCAATATGCTGCTTCATTAATCTTTACATGACTACGAGATTACAAAACAAACAGACTGATGAACAAATTATTCATTGTAGAAAGTAGTTAAGAGACCGGCTCGACAGACCCTTGGCTGTGCAGAGAGATGAAGCGGAACATCAAATTTGTCCTATTTTAACAACTTGCATAAGTCTTGTTCTATTCCTGTTGCATGATCTGAGAGTAGGTTAAACAAATGTCTATCTCCTCAAATTCATCAGGGGTCATGCAGTCAGGATAGTTTGAGCATATTCTTATGTCGACTCAAAGCTTAAACATTCATGTTTGGAAAAGAAAGCAAGCTATGCGGGTCGATACAGCTGAAATATCAGCTTCGCTGGGCCTGAGATCCAAATGTGTAATGAGATAAATCTCCCAGAGGAAATATGATGAGTATGTTAAAATACAAAAACAAACACAAAACTGCATAAATACAGATGCATCAGAGGACAAATTGATCTAAAATCAACATGAAAGGCTGTTCAAAACCCATTTTACTTCCATAAAATAATGAATTTACCAGCACAACATGATATTATTAAAGAAAAACTATTTTTTTGATTATAAACATTTTATTTATAACAAAAACCTGTTGGTGTGTGGCAAGATGAGGCACATTTATCACTATTCTCTTTAACTATTCTTTCATTATTTCTCACTATTATCTTGGTTCTAGTCTGTACCTCTCCGATCAATCCTGAAACTGCTGTATTTCCTCTTTAGGATGACTTACTTATGTTTTATTTCCTCCATTGTTAGTCACTTTGGGTAAATGAATCTTCTAAATGTAGAAATGTAAATCTTCTGTACAGAACTTTATCCCTCTAATATTTTTCCCACTGTGGGCCTGTGAACTCTCCTTTGAGTCGTTTACCTCAAGAAATGTTTCGGTTTGTGAACTGAAGCTGACGTGAACAACACAGCTTTGGATGACTTTACTTCTTTCATAAGTCCATCTATTTCTGATCTCTCTGAAGCTCTTTTCTTGACTCCTGTAGCTTGGGAATAAAACAAAACAAAACAAAAAAAAGCTTTGGAGGAAGTCGTTGAAACTTTCGATACCAAAAAGCACTTTAGCTATTTTGTTTCCTGCACGCGGTGGACACTGTGTATAGATGTATTTTAAAAGCTTTGTTCTTTTCGCACAGAAGCTCATTGGGGACGACTGTTTTCTGATGAGAAAGTGCCCCTCCCCATTGAGCAATGTTACGATGTTTCTGAATAATTAACCAAGAAAGTCCCAAACAAGTACAACAAAGCCCTTTCACCAATACAAATCCTCTCTTTGTCCATTTTGCTTTGTTATACTGAATGAAATATTAATAGAGAAACAAATGCGTTAGGTGGTGTTAGGACCCCGGCAATGGTGCATCAGTTGTTTGTCTTCTTGTAAAACTTTAAAAAGCAATCTTAAGAAGTGCAACTCTAAAACATAATGGAATATAAAATGAGGTACATCTTTCAGCATGTTGCTGTTTTGACCTGAGTGTGCACAAGAGATGTGTCAGATGGACTGTAAGCATTCATGTGTGTCCAATTGTAAAACTTTCTCTCATAATGGTGATGGCAAGGACTGAACCAGCAACCCTACGTTTACCAGCCCTGAGTCTTACCTGACCGGACTGTTCCCTGCGTCCAGATCCTGTGCAGTCACGGCTCCTATAATGGTGGCTTGCGGCGTGTCCTCGTAAACGTCCATCGTGTAGGAGGGTTTGCTGAAGACGGGAGGCTCATCCACATCCAGAACGTTTATCTTTACTGTTGCGGTGTCTTTAAACGGGCCAAAACTGTGGAACCGTTGATCCAGGTGTGCATTCGAGGCCTCCACTTTAAATGTGTACGCCTTTTTGGTCTCATAGTCCAGCGGCTGTGAGAAAGACAAACAGAAAAGAACAAAAGAAAAGTTCAGGTAAAGTCTCGGCATCTCTGCATGGACCTGCAGCTCAACCTGGCTAAGACTGAGCTTCTCATCCTCCCTGCCTACCCGTCTCTAGAGCACGACTTCACTATCAAGCTAGATTCTTCCTCAATCACCCCATCAAGGTCAACTCAGAAATCTTGGAGTAACCTTTGATGATCAGCTGACCTTCACAGACCACATTACCAAAACAGCTCGATCATGCAGGTTTGCTATTAGGCCTTTCCTAACTGAGCATGCGACACAACTTCTCGTCCAGGCCCTAGTCACTTCTAGGCTTGATTATTGCAATGCTCTTCTGGCTGGACTTCCTTCATGTGCAACTAAACCTCTACAAATGATCCAGAATGCTGCTGCTCGCCTTGTCTTCAACGAGCCCAAAAGGGCCCACGTCACTCCTCTGTTCATCTCTCTGCACTGGCTGCCACTCGCTGCTCGCATCAAGTTCAAGGCATTGACACTTACTTACAGATCGACCAAAGGTTCAGCTCCCTCCTGCTTCCACTCATTATAACAAGTCTACATCCTAAGCAGAAGCCTACGATCAGTCAATGAGCGACGGCTCATGGTACCAGCACAGAGAGCCTCAAAATCACTCTCCAGAACTCTTTCACGGTTCCATGCTGGTGTAATGACCTGCCCACCCTCATCCGGAATGCAGAATCCCTGACAGCATTCAAAAGACAACTGAAAGCTCTTCTCTTCCGTGAGCACTTAACATAAAAAATAAAAAAAAATAAAAAAAATAAAAATCCCTTTCCTTTAAGTCCTTGCTTACCTGGCTTATGCTACTCTGAGCAATGTCTGAACTTTGTATTTTGAGCACTTTTTGCGTTGTTTTTGCCTCTTCACAATGACTCGCATTAGTCGTCAGTTGTAAGTTGTTTTGGATAAAAGTGCCAGCTGAATTAAGCAAAACCAGGGAGGTCAACATTCAGCTGTTTATATATATATATATATATATATATATATATATATTTTATTTTTTTTGACTTAAACACCACTTTTCAAAATTTGCGGGGTGATAAGATTAGTTGTTTTTAAAATAATTCTCTCATGTGCACACATATATATACTTGTATATATATATATATATATATATATATGAAGAGTTCAGATGCAAAAGCCTCTAAATGCCATTTTAAATTTTCTTCTTTAATGATGATTTTTATCAAGCTTGTATATTTAAGTTCAGTGATTTCACTTAAATGGCAATGATAATTACCTATTAATTGTTATTTAAGTGAAATTACTGAACTTAAATATACAAGTTTGATAAAAATCATCATTAAAGAAGAAAATTTCAAATGGCATTTAGAGGCTTTTGCATCTGAACTCTTCATATATATAGCCATGGTGCGCATGAGAGAATTATTTTAAAATATTTATTATTTATTAAATTATTTATTTTAAATTGGAATTATTATGTATGTGTGATGCAAATATACATTTTCCGCATCATTACTCCAGTCTTCAGTGTCATATGATCCTTCAGAAGGTTTGTTTAATTATTTATGGAAACCATGATTTTTTTAATCATGATACACATACACATAAACATGATACACATACACATAAACATGATACACATACACATAAACATGATATATATATATATATATATATATATATATATATATATATTTTTTTTTTTTTTCTTTCAGCAAACATAAATTAAATTGATCAAAAATGGCACTGAAGAAATGCATAATATTTTATGCATTTCTTCAGTGCCATTTTTGATCGATTTAATTCATGTTTGCTGCAAAAAAATAAAAATAAAATAATCTTAGATTCTAAAATAAGATAATAAATAGTATCCAGGTATTATAGAACCCCTTCATGTTAGCCATTCATTGAGGCCTTACATTAAGACTTCATTAATTTATTTATTGGCGTTTTATCTTTTTTTTTTTTTTTTTTTGCTGGAATTGCTCACTTTGATCATGATGAATGCAGGCCCTTTCTCAGATCTCGAGTGTGTCGATGTCTGGGGAAGTTTGTCACAATGGCTTGTCAACCAAACAACACACACGCCAAAAACGGTTCTCTAATGCTTCTTTGTGCATTTTCTCCTGATTTTCTTCCCCTCCCCTTGATTCGGGGCCCTGTTTTCTGCTGAAAACTATCTTTAAATTCTCACTTCTGAATCATTGTCTGTCATCAGTGCGACAGCCATAACGTGCTAGTGTGGATGATTGTGGTCTTGCACCACTAAATCAAAGCAGCCCATCTATAGAGATGAAAATCATACAATGCTATTGTACAATCACAGCTTTCTGTCTCTGTCAATCTGTCTCGCTGGGGGATAGCGAAAGGGCGAAGGAGACAAAGATCATATATCTGACCTGTATACGGTTTCCATCATGAGCAATTTAGTGCGGTATCATCTTTAGATGAAAACAAACACCACAGGTAAAAGAATGGCACCCGCAGACCCATAAATACACAGCATATGCACTCTATACAGCAGTAACATGTATTTTGCACCTGCAACTTCCAAAGCAAACAGTTTTTCAAAGAAAAAAAAAAAAAGTCAGATTTAGGTGAATGGCAACTCAAAATCGTTTAGGATTTGTCTGTGTCAGATGCACATGCTGAAGTTTCCACACCGACTAAATCAAATGGTGCTAATTAGAATCCCAATCAGGTTAAAGTGAACCTCCAAAAACTGCAGTCGCTAATTAGCTAATGTTCTTGTTGACACGAAAACAGAAGCATTGGTGTTACTGAAGTCTTAAATACAGGGAAAATAAGCTTACAGTTGCCCACAAGTAATTAGAACCCAAGTCATTATATACAAAATATATTTTTCTCATTATTCAAACTAGCCTATGGCCTTCTGTGTCCTACAGAGACGACACTGTTTAGAGGCCAAGAGATGCACGGATTAAGGTCGTAAGCCATGGAAATATGACAGAAAGGCAGTTTACAAGCAAAATTCCTTGGTTATCAGATAAAAAAGGACACATGGAGGACTTCTGTCTTCTTTAATATGCATAACGCTAGTAAAACTGTATTTCCATCCGGACGACATTATGCCACGTCCCTCATTTCAATCAGATCTCACAGCCTTTGTAACTCTAATTTGAAACAAAAGCTAAATTGCTCTCTGACTGTCATTGCATGTGGTTATTTTCCATTTAGGTCCCCTCAAAGGAATCTTTAGTGATGCTCATGTTGAATTATGGCTTGATCTTCACAGTCGCATCGCTCGAGAAAGCCTTGCATCGCCTTATGATATTTTCCTCTATGACACAATATTTTCATTTATACCCCACCAGAGAATTTTCAAGGTCATTTAAACTATTTGACCACATAACAGCTTTGCTTCGGTATAAATTATAATACTAAGAAACACGGAGAAACCGAGGAGACACGAAACAGCATCCACCTCAGCTCTGCACCAATGGTGACTTTGTAAAAATGGGTTATTTGTTGCAGGCAGACACATTTCTAACCATCTTATTTACTTGGAAGATGATCAATTACCATATTATATATAAATACAATGTCTGATAGACTTACGTATTGTAAAGAAACAACATATGAATTGTGCACAGCCTTGGACTTCAAGCGCATGAGCCAGCTGTATGTCAAAATTACAAATAATGAGAAGTCGAATGTGTTATTCGCCTTTTCCTCATTTGTGTGGACCGAATGTAACCGGAGTGATCATACTTTACCAATCAAAAGTTTGGAATATATGCATGTTGTTTTTAAAAAAAAGTATCTTATAGGCTCACTAGAAGGCTACATATATTTGATCAAATATGTAGAAAAATATACAATTAGAATAAATATACAATATGATATACAATTTAAAGGAACTGATTTCTATATTTTAAAATATTTTAAAATTTAATTTATTCCTGTGATGGCAAAACTGAATTTTCAGCAGTATTTGCTTCTTACATTTTTGTGGAATCCGTGATACTCTGCCATTCAACAATATTAGGCAGCACAAACTATTTTCGAAACTGATAATAATAAGAAAGTTATTAATATTTGAGCACCACTAATAATTGATAATAAATGAGCATCAAATCGGAATATTAGGAGTGATTTCTGAAGGATCAGGATACACCAAAGACCATCTTTATAAATTACATTTTATAATACTTTATATCAAAAAAGAAATTTTTAAATTGTAGTGATATTTCACAATGTTACCATTTTACCAATAACCATAACCAAATTTTTGATCGGTAGTGTAATGTCCTTAAAGGAGTAGTTCACATATTTTTTCGAGTCATTTAGTTCATTCAACGAACGAAATGAACGAATTGACTCAGAAAAAAGATTCATTCGTTTTGATGAACGAGTTCGAACAGGAGAGTCACGAACGTGCATCACAGAACAGAGCAAGGCGACTATTTGAGCTTATAAAACTTAAACTTTATTTTTTATTTTTTTAATGACCAATCGTTTCGCTTGATAAGACCCTTATTCATCGTATGGAATCGTTTAAAGCCCTTTGAACAGTTTGCACTGAAACTGTCTTTTGGACCTTGAACTGTTACCAGTAAAGTGCATTATATGGAGAAAAATCCTGCAATGTTTTCATCAAAAACCTTAATTTCTTTTCCACTGAAGAAAGAATGACATGGATATGGATGACATGGGGGTGAGTAAATTATCAGCAAAAGTTTTTTTTTGTTTTTAAAGTGAACTACTCCTTTAAGCATAATGAATGGGAAATAATCACTCCATCACGCCATATGCACATTTCCAAGCCAACACCTGCTCTTATTACCATGTGCGTCAGACTGCCATTTGAGTTTTCACGACAGGTGAGGTGAAAAGGGTGAACCAGACGTGGCGTCTCTCCGAGCCCGAGTCCGATATTGATGGTGGACGGACGTGAATGGTGATTAAATGTCAGAGGAAGCTGCAGGATTATTGGAGGTGAGGAGGTTTAGCCTAGAAGAATGTCAAGAGCATCATTG